TAACACTCTGCATGCAAGGTTAGCGTTCTAACCAACTGAGCTAGCTAACCAGGGCAACTCAGATGGTAGGTTCAAACCACGCAAAGACAAACCTCAAACCACTGTCTATGGCAACAGTATACTCTCTACCGAATACAACCTTTGCCGATTGCCTGCGCACGTGTTTGCTAACCGTCAACGGTAATGGTGGGGTTTTCTGCGGAATTATAAACGGTGCCAAGTATTCGATAGTCACAATTACGCACCGTGCCGACCTAAACTTTGGGACCTGGCCTTTACACATTGGTTGATACGTCTGGGGAGAAAGGGACAAGACCAACTTCCTGTAAAACAACTTGATGTCCCCTACTCTAGCACTGATCAAGCTGTTTGTTTTGGATTCCATCAAGTACTACTGTATTGGCTAGCTTGTTTTCACCAACTGACACTCCCCTGTCTCTACATAGCTATATTTGAGGGGGCTGGTAAAAGGGACCTATAGGCTGTAATGTGAAAATTAAGTTTTTGAGGGTGAAAACCCACAAAACCTTGATTTTCACATTCCAGCCAATACAGGTTCCCTTTCCCATGCCCCCTCACCTATGTAGCTTTATTGATACACTCCTATTTTGCACACTTCTTCCATCGCAGTGTTGGTTGGGGCCATATCTCCCCACCCCGGTGGTTAGCTTATTGTGTGTCCCCATTCATTCTGCAGGAGTCATTTCCCATCGTCGTTTCCTGAGTGGTTAACGACCTCGACACCCACCATGCGGGATGTCAACAAGAAATTCCTCTGTTCGTGTTACTATTGTCACCTGGTTCTGTGTGGGACGAGATTAGAGGAGGTATTTCAAACAACAGGTACCTCTTCTTCTTTCTTTTTTTCTTCTTCCTTCTCTTCTTCTTTTCTTCTTTCTTTCTTCTTTTCCTTCTTCTCTCTTCTTTTCTCATCTTTTTTCGGCGGGTTTCCTCTGTCTCTTTTGCTCCTTCACTTAACCTTTTGTTGCATCATGGATACAGTGGAACTGACACAAAATGGCACAACAGAGTGTCCATTTCGGCAAGTTTCCTAATTTCAGGGGTTGCCTTCCCTTCGAGAACTCCTGTGGGGGAAATAGAAGGGTGTCCTTGAGGTGTCCACATCCCAGGGGGGTTCTTGAGAGGTGTCCACATCCCAGGTGGTTTCTTGATAGGTGTCCGCATCCCAGGGTGGTCCTTGAGAGTGTCCCATCCCGTGTGTCCTTGAGAGGTGTCCACTCCCAGGTTTTCCTTGAGAGGTGTCACATCCCAGGGGTGTCCTTGAGAGGTTTCCACATCCCAGAGTCAGTTTTGTTTGGACTTGAGCAGTGCCTACGTTGATGCAACTTGACTAGCATACAAAAGATTTGTTCTCGTTTCCCACTTATTTGTCTCCTAGGTTTATAGCTTACCTCTTCCTCCCTCCCTTCTCCCTCCCTCTCCTCCCCCCCTCCCCCACAACCCCCCTCTCTCTCCCCAGAGATAGTCCTTGGAAAAAGCTGACCCAAAAGCAGCCAGAAAGTCAGTCAAGAAATAGTCTCTACAAATGAACAATAGGCACACTTCTTACAATAATACCACTACCTCCCACTCTATAGCAATAGGTATATATACTTTTTTAGTTGTCTGCTATGTGAATGTGATGCGTGTGTGTAAATGTACTGTTCTGAATGAGTGATTGGTAATGTAACATGACGGTTTGGAGTTTTTGCCAATCCTTGAGTTACTTTGCCTTTTCACACAAAAATAGTACACAAAACACAAACCCTTTCGTCTTCTCTCTATAAAACTCACTCCATTATTCCCCTATCTCGCTCCAAACATTTCACCTTTTTCACCCACTCTCGCTCACTACCTTCGTTAATGTTCCCCCTTATTTGCTCCAAAAATTCGTTATTTCCCTCTTGTCTTGCTCTGTGCTTCGTCCTTTCCCCCTATCCTCGAGCTTGATGAAGAATCTTCTTCTCTTCCCCTCATTTCGCTCCCAATCTCACCTTGTACTGGTGAAAAAGTCTGACTAAACACCATGTGGTCTGCCTCTTACACTGTCTTAGTTTTGTTACATGCATTGCTGGCAATGTTCCAGTAGAAACACCATGAGTAGTATAGTGTCCCTAGGGCAAGCATGCATTGCCCATCAAGTAAAGATTTACTCCAGTACACTGCAGTGGCATGTTGAGATAGCAACTGCCATAGATAGAGCTCTACTTCGACCGAGGAAACCACCACGACTTTCTGTCTCTGGTGAGGCAGCTCTCTCCTCCGGGGGAACTGACTCAGTCCGCTGTGTTTGATTTCGAGTTTCATCACGTCGAGAAACCCTACGAGTCGTACACCGGGACCAATGTCAAGTTGAGGTGAGATCTTGTCTGGAGGGGAGGGAGGGGGTGAGGGAGGGAGGGAGGGAAGAGGGGTGAGGGAGGGGGAGAGGAGGGAGGGGGGAGAGAAGGGGAGGTGAGAGGAGGGAGTGGGGAGAGAGGAGGGAGGGGAGCTGAAAGGCTGTACACAGTAATCCTAGTGCCCCTCTCCCTCACGCCTCACATTGTCAATGAGATTCATCACAACTCTTTAACCACAACCTCCAGAGAGAGTACATAAGTGATGTAATGACGATGTAATGGCCCACTAGGTATTTCCTGCGGGTGGTGGTGGTGAGGAGACTCTCGGACCTGACGAAGGAGCTGGACCTGGCCGTCCACGCCCTCTCCTCCTTCCCAGAGATGGTCAACTCTCTCAAGATGGAGGTGGGCATCGAGGACTGTCTGCACATTGAGTTTGAATACAACAAGTCCAAGTGAGTCACTAACTGACTATCCCACTCTCTGTGGAGTCTCAATCCTGTGGGATAGGAAATTTTGAGGGCAAACTACGCACTTTCCAATTCAGTCTCAGAGTAAAAAGTTTTTGAGAAAACACCTCTGCTTTTTCTGCTGTATTAATGGTCTACAAACAAACAAAACAGACATGGAACTTTTGCAATTGAACTTCCAACCATGAAAGTGTTTTCACTAAAACCTTTATTGCCAAGTGTAGGTGGTTTAGGTTTCAGCTGTTTGTATAATATTATGTCACTGTTTCTGCCGAGTACATAATCATGTTTAAACACGTCAAATAAATGCCTGGTGGGTTTTTATTGGAGTTTGTTGACCAGCGTCTCTCGTTATGATGCCAGTGTTTAGTGTATAGCTATGTTCACAATATGTCGCATTGCCCTGTCGCGCCGTGCCGCACCGCGAGGATAAAATCCATTTCTATCTTCGCGGCAGGACACGACGGGGCAATGCGACATATTGTGAACCTGTCCTAATGCTCTGTGTGTGGTGTCTGTTGTTGTTGGCAGGTATCACCTGCGGGACATAGTGGTGGGGAAGATCTACTTCCTCCTGGTCCGTATCAAGATCAAACACATGGAGATTGCCATCATCAAGAAAGAAACTTCCGGAACACGTGAGTTCACGTGTAGGCAGTGTCGAGGGAAGGGGGAGCAAGGCATAAACAGCTGAAAATAATTATGTGTGCATGTGTTGCATTGTCCCTTGTCCAAGATTGTGACTCAAAATTACAAATAAAGCAAGTGCTGTTTTCTTCAGTGGTTTATCTCATATTGATTAGCAGCCGGAATCAAAAACATGCACGCAAGGGCACGTGTTAAACATTGTAAACCAACATTTACTCTATCTCTCCCCTCCCTCCCTCTTTCCTCAGCTCCCAATATCTATACTGAGAATGAGCAGGTAGCCAAGTATGAGATCATGGATGGTGCTCCTGTCAGAGGTACACACACATACATTTACTATGGACAGTGAAGTGAAATACAGTGGTACCTCCGAACAAGCAAAGGACACTATGGAACCAAGTCCTTTGTAGAGAGGTCGTCCCTATCTTGGAGGTCAAATAATACACTAAAGTATTAGCATGGGGTTGAAACAAGTGTCCTTTGTAGAGAGGTCATCCCTATCTCGGAGGGTCCCTTATCAGAGGTTCCACTGTATACTACTGGTCATTGTAATGACCAAGACAGTATGTGTCCCAGCTAACTACCAGTCTTTGCATGTCTGAGAGTTGCACAAACGTAATGAGGTTTGGAGAGAAAGATAACAATAACCTAATTTTGAGTTTTGACTTTTGACTTTTGATAACGCTCACATCTTGGCAAAGTAATGCTCAAATCAACTGGGCATGCAGGAGTATCTGCACGAGCAATCCTAGCTTCCAAGTTGCACCTTCGAACCATGAAGATAGGGAAGAGGTACAGCCTCGGTCAGTCACTGAAGGTTGCAGCGCATGCCGTCGAATGGAGGAGAGTTCTCTGGCTGGCTAAGCAGCCCATACCGCGAGGCACCGTGGGTGAAAATGTGTAAAAATTTGGAAATAATTTCGGATAAAAAGAAGCACGTAAGAAGCCGCGCATGCGTACTTACACGACGTATAGAAATAACGGACGGACTGTGTACGGACGTATATAAATAGAAAAATGCGCTTGAACGAACGACTAGCTACAGTAGTTGGCTCTCTCCCGCTCGCCAACTACTGTAGCTAGCCCATGTCAGACTCTCCGCAAGCTACTAGCGGGAGACCACGAGTAAACGTATACTAATAGCCCAACCCATCAATTAGCAGTAACGCGCATGTGCAGTTTGCCGAGGGTTTGCACTTTAGTGCTTTTCAGGAAAATCACACCTTTAGTTGGAGCGAGCTAACTCTGTCCTCCAAACCGTCCGTGATTTTCGTTATGCACAACAGTACCTCGTTCAACTGCATATCCAGACACTTCTTTTTATGTGAAATTCAAGCCAGTGCATACCACAGCCACAGGAGCTGTCAGATAAAACACAATTTTACAACTTTAGCACTTAACCAGCCATGGACACATACATGTGTCCAGAGCCTCCATAAGCAGAAATATATATGGAGGTTTTAATACTTGGTGGTAATACTTTGTATGTGGTTTGTATATAGTGGTGTGGATAGGGTTAAAGTAGGTAGCCCTTAACCCATTTGACTTCACCTGAGCCTTCAAAAAATCGTCATAACTTTTTAAATTTTAAATCCAATTGTAAAAACGCTAACACCATTGGAATCCTCGCACCTTTCCAGTTCTGATGGTATCCAAAGTTAGCTGTATGTCCCATAGTAAAAGTATGCCATAAGTAAAGTGTACGTGGTGCCAGTATAAACGGTTTACACAACCACTTCTGGGGCCATGAATAGACTTTAGTATATACAACATTGCTTGTCCCCTGTTTTCAAAATGAATTAGTACAAAAGACACAAACCGAAGTACAGGTGGGTTGTTGTGTTGTTGTGTTATTAGG